AAATACTATCTGAAAAAGTCATTGCTTTTATCTGCATGATAACTCGTACTGAACTAGTAAACAAAATGACTTACATAGATAGAATGTTAAGGAAATACAGTTAAGCAGGGATAAAGACATCCATCCTCTAACTCCTTCAGCTTCACAGGCTGAATGGTTGCCCAAATAAGATGGAGATGATTCACGCGATTGCCTCAAGTTAAATTAGATATTCTGGTCTACAGGCCTTTTATTATTTTATTAAAATAAATAAATACTCTTTCTAAAAGATCATGTAGTTAGACTTAAGTAGTTCCCCTAATCATTTATTGAGGAATTTGACCCCAAATTACAGAATTAGAAGGGAAAATTCATGATTTTGTGTTTTAAGAGGCACATAACCTTATAACTAGCTTATGCCATTTTAAAATGACAGACTCTTTGCTTATAGCTCTGGTAGATTAGCTGTGCAGCAGCTACTCTGGATCCGACGATACCTTTTGCTCATGAACCAAGATTAAAAATACAACTTTTCAGTTTTACTTTAGTGGGTTATGATCTTAGGTAAATAGAATTCTACACTATGCAGTAACAGTTTTTTATCTCAGCATTTTATCATATGACTAAATCATGTTAAACTTGGTGTTTCTGCCATAAGACTGGCTTTACAGGAGGGTGTTTAGATTTTTTATGAACCGTAAAAACTTCCCGTTAAATGTGTCTTATCGACCATTGATAGATTTAATTTAATAACATGATTGAATCAACACGGTGCTAGATTTTTCCTGTATGCTATTTCTATGCAAATCTTGTTTGAAATGTAAACATCAACTCAGCCCCTACAGACCATAATGCTGATCGTAGTATGTTATTTTACTCAACAGTAAGGCTGTTTTGTAACTATTTCAACATTTGAGCTATTACCATCATTTATTTTCTGTTTGGGTTATAAGGTTTAATAAATCTGAGTGACTTCCTTTTGATTAATTTAGATCCTGTAAATGTGTGAGAACCCTACCTCCACAGGAGGGGGTGGTGTAACTGATAAAGTTTTGATTACCTTACAAGGTGGAGATGGGCTGGTTCATTTAAATTAGAATGCCTTTTGCCTGAATGCAAATGTGTGAGCCTAAGCAGCTAAATCAAGGCTAGACTAGAAGACTCTAGGGTCCTTTTGTGAAAAACCTCTTTGAAGCCTCTGTGACGTGATTGTGTAAACTCCGCCTTAGTGTGATAGAATCTCTGATTAACTCCTTTTGAGACAAGCTAGTTTTAAAGAATTTGGATGTGTTTTATTTTGTTTGTGAAAATTTAGGACAGACCATATGCTATTTTCATGCTAAACCAGACATCAATGTTTATTAATTTAAACAATTAGGCAGCACAACTTTTGGGTACACTGTTTTCCTAAATGCAAATTGTTCCCTAGGCAAGACAGGCTGGGAGACTCCTTGATTTGTGTCCTGCTGTGATGTGATGATGGGAACTCGATTAACAGGTGATAAAGATCAGTGGCTGGCTGCATTGGTTCCTGCAGAAAACATCAGAGGACACAGATCGGGGACAAGACGCTTTGTGCCCCATTGACCCTCAACAACCAGGAAGGTATTGTGATTGCAACACAAGATGGTTTGCTATGTCCTGTCCTGATACTCTCCGAATGCAGGAATGGCTCAGACTCAGGAGAAGAGTGTCGATGAAAAGACTTCAGAGGATCTGAGTTCCTTTGAGCAAGCAGCTGTGGAAGTTGAACGCATGTCTAACAGAATGCAAATTGGTCTGTGCCTGTGGCATCCTGCTGTGGGTCTTTGAAACGTTTGTGACTTGTAGGTGTGTTGAAAAGGAGGTGGAGCCCACAATCCAAGATGGAGGAAGCACGAAAGACGTGGCTAACTGCTGACTTGCAGTCCAAGACGGAAGTGATACAAACCACCGTCACCGGCTGAGCTAATGTTAAACCACAAACCAAGTGGATCAGTTAGCCCAAACCGGTACCAACCTGTAAGCTGATGTAAAACCACAAAACCCGCTGTGGGCCAGTCAGCTCTCTCAGGAAGTGACCTGCGTCGACACGTCAGCGGGACGACGCAAAGCTGAGAGCACAGTGTGACCGAGATATCACACCTGAACTGGAGATGAGGTGCAGAGGTCAAACACCAACTTCAGGAGGGAACCAGAACTGCAGGTCAGCCAGCCACAGAAAACTCAAAACCTGTGACACCTGTTCAGTCCTACAAGCGATCGATTGCAGCACAGGAGGTAACGACTGATGTGGAGCAGAAGATCCACAAGTGTTTGATGACAAATGATATGGGTTACTTTAATAAAGCTAGGAATTCAAGATTATTATGTAGGTTTTGGTGTCTAGATTATTCATTCCTAATTCCAGGTTTTAACTCTTGCTCTGGGTTTTGTTGACAGGATAATCATTGCTCAAAGGTAGCATTCAGGGGGGATAAGTTAATGAAGCTAGAAATACAGGATAAAATTGGGTTTGGTGTCTGGTTTAATGTTGAACTAAAATCCGATTGATTAATTGGTCATTTCAAATTCCAGGTTAGGTGTGTCCTAATTTCATGTTAATGTTGTTTTATTGGTTTAATCTTTTATTGCTCAAAAAGTCACATCAGGAGGGAATGTTGGGTATTTTTATAAAAATGTACCTTTTTGAGACCTAAAAGATGCCCATTACACATCATGAATCTCTGTGTTGGTATGTTCATAAAAAGGTTGAGCAAAGATGTTAATTGAGAGAACTCTGTAACTCTGTAACTTGAGAAGGTCCGCCTTCTCCCCCCATCCATTTGGTGAATAAAACCACTGAAGACTCTTGAGGAAGGGGGAGTCGCCTGGCAGCTAGCTCTGGAGAGAGTTATGTGTCATGGTGATCTCCCCCCCATTTGGCTAATTCAGTGTAAAATGTCTTCCTTGTCGTCATGTGTGTTTATTTCAGGTTCCAGGGTTATGGAGGTTAAATATTATCTAACAGATAATTGGAGAATGCAGGTATGCAAAGCTGGTAAGAGCAGAAGGCTGAGGCTGGAGCAGAATGGGGCCTGGTTGAGCCACACACATGGACATTACAAATAATCAATTTACTCTCTCTCTCTCTCCCCGGGTGTGTCGTCCTTTAAGGTAATATGGGATAAAATCAAATTACCTAACACCAACCAACCAACAAATCCACCCTATACCCGCAAAACTAACCAGCCCTATACACGTAAAACTAACCTGCTCTATAAACGTAAAAGTAACCAGCCCTATACACGTAAAACTGACCAGCCCTATACACGTAAAACTGACAAGCCCTATACATGTAAAGGAGACATAACATGCTTTTAAGTTATTCCTTTTTACATCTAAATCCTTCAGTTGGGGTCTAAATACAGTAGAACTGCAGTTCTTTGGTCTGATTTCCTCATTATTGTTGCTCTACAGACCCTCATCTACCCCTGTTCTGAGGAGAGTCTTGAGAACGAGCCGTTTTTGGGTACTGTCTCTTTAAACTGGAGGAGGAGCTGTAAACTCTGCCCCCCCTCCATAGTGCAGACCTGTACTCTCCTCCCCCAGTCGGACTTTGTAGTTCTATAGAGAAATCATTATTTAGCATAGCAGATTTAGCATAGCATATTAGCATTTTTAAAACATGTGGGGAGAGTAGTTCATCAAGCTGTTTCATGGCTGCTAACTCTCTCATGCATTTGTCTGTTGTCACTCACACAGACCCGGTGTCGGTACAGTATCTGCTCGGGTGCAAGATCGGCTCGGGGTCCTTCGACTGCCGATGACGTCAAAGTACGGCAAACCGACTCGGACAAAATACACTACACGTCTAGATACTGTTGGAAAGAATTTAGCACTTTCGTTATTAAAATAACGTTTCTTAAGATGTAAGTTTGTGTTTATAATGGTATTTGTAAAATAAAACACTATATCTTATTCATAATGTTGAACTCCTCTTTGAGCACATCCCTTGAAGAATCATAGGTATTAGAAACACCTGTGAAATTTGCAGGAAAGAAGTGTGTCCCGTTTATTTAAGTATTTTGTGTTTAGAGTTTTTGACATCTTGTCATAGACTGTAGCTGCTAGCCAAAACTCTGGAGTTAAAAGTTTTCTGGCTTTACTATTAGACTCCAAATGTAATCATTTGGCACGTTTGTAATTCATTATTTGCAATAATGTAATCGGCGATATTAGCATTAGCATTCCTATGGGTTTTTCCATGTATATTAGCATTGCGCTAACCACTCGCTGCCAAATTGCAGCCTTTGAGATTAGAAAATCTCCTGGCTTTACTAAAATACCTGTCTGTACTTATTTGATTGATGGTATTTTTACTTTCTATTAGACTCCAAATGTAATTATTTGGCACGTTTCTAATTCATAATTTGTAATAATGTAATCTGCGATATTAGCATTAGCATTCCTATGGGTTTTTCCATGTATATTAGCATTGCGCTAACCACTCGCTGCCAAATTGCAGCCTTTGCCATTAGAAAATCTTCTTTTGTCACATCGCAATTTTATTGCACATGCAGTTAATCGTTCAGCCCTATTATACTTGCAGCTCTATGCTAAAAGTGTATTTTCAAAGAGGTAATGATGGATTTCTTTGTAAAAGTTGTCCATCTTTCCAATAGAAAAAAATTTGCCTGGACCAACGTCACGTGATAACAACGTTACGTGATTACGTAATTCCGTAAGGTTCATGTTCAGCCAATCAACTACTTAGACGTCATCGGCAGTCGACGGACCCGAGCCGATCTTGCACCCGAGCAGATCTTGTACCGACACCGTCACGGCCGACGGAGGGACAAGCGAGCAGGCACACGCGCGCGCGCACACACACACACACACACACACACACACACACACACACACAAGGAATGCTGCTTGCTTATTTCTATAAAAAATGTTTAAAAAAATGATACAGCTCATTAAAACACCATTAAAAGAATATATTTTATTAAGATCTCTATCTATATACATACATATAATTATAAATAATTTTATAAGTAGTCTTATTTTATATTGGGTGTCTTAAAGGCTGAAAATGGATAAAAAGCAGTTACATTTTAATTTAAAGATTTGAGATTCTAGTCAAAAATAAAGAACATTCCTCCAAATGTTCTTTAATGTGATCATTATAATTCTAATGCTTACAACTTTGTTTTTATTGTCTGCAATGTTTAGCCTATATCTTTATTAAATGTGTTTAGCTGTAAAGTGGTAATTCTCTCTAATGTGTACAGAGAGGTGGACATCAGTGCTGCAGTGAAATTCCCAAGATCAGTCTGCTTTGCTAACAAATATAGTTAAATCTTACCTGCATTCTAAATAAATACTGTTAGGTTAAAACATCAGTAGGCATTGAGTTATTGATAAAATCCCTAACAGCCAGAATGGAAGAAGAGCATGCTGGGTCATCCTGGATCTGAGCCTGTTACCTACAGGATGCAATAAATGTCTACAAGGCTGAGTTTGGACCATTACATCTAAAAGAAAACATACAATCAGTGATTTTTTTTATTGTTTACATTAATATACAAATTTTCTAAGTATTAACCTCACAGCAAATAAGTAGAACAATATAATAAACAGGCTTTAGTAGTTAAACAGGCGTTGTGCACACAGGTGCTTTGTGTCTCGGTGCTGGTGGTATCTAGGTCACAGAGTTCCTGTCCTCCTGCCGTCTTCTGTTGTCCTCAGGAAACGGATTGATGTTTCCTGATGATGAGGGAGGGGCAGTATGTGGGCTTCAAACTGGTCCTGGATAACAGTGGGAGACCTCCGTTGTCTGAATACTGAGACCAGAGGGTTGGTGAGATGCAGATCTTCTCTACCTCATCTAGAAACGGAGTTGGTTCAGGGAAAACTTTTCCAAAGACCAGTTCCATGATGTCATCGCCATATTCTGCAATGATAGACAATAACTTTAATGACGTATTTTGTTTACAAGCAGCTTTAGGAAAGTTGTTTCTTTAGCTTTCATGTTTATAGTCAAGTTTGTGTTTGTTCACAAGTTCACTTTGCTGCAGTGACTTCATATTCTTACAAATGTAATAAAATAGTGACACTAAAATTATACAAATGACTCCTTATGAAAGGAAGCTCATTAGAGAGCAGTGCAGACAGACTTACTACATGCTGCAGCTGTTTTTGTAGGCCAGCTGCTGCTGAATTTGGGGAAAGTTATTCTGCACACATCCAGATCAGATGGTCGATTACAGAAAATAATGTAATTCAATAATTTCTAAACAGACTAAACAAGTAAAACATCAAATAAATCACTCTGCTGTCATCAGACGGAGTGATTCAGGGGTGAGGTGTTCTTAATGATGAGGGTGGCTGAGGTGTGTCATCACTCACTTTGGTCTGGTCCAGCTACCATCTCTTTACTGGTGAGCCTCCTTCCTCAGTAGGTGACGTGAAACGCCAACATCTGAACGTTCTGTGTTCCTTAGAGGAGAAGAAAAGTAACATTTGCCAGCTGGCTACATTATTTTTTACTAGCATCTCAAGGACTTGGAGAAGCCGATCTTCACTTACCTAAACATCAGACCAGTTTGTCCCTGCTGAGCTCATCAGGGCGTTAGTCTGACAGCCTGTCAGTGAAACACGGCTCCAGACTTCTGGATGTTGACTCTAAAAAGCAAAGGAGCATTTTTACTTTTGTTTTAATTATTTTACAGCCGATTTTATCAGCTTTCCGACGCTCACGCTCATACAGACGGTGAGCTTTGCTGCGTCTGACTGATGCAGAGTTAGTTTTTATATCTGCAGTGAGACAAAAAAACTAACCTCACTCCACTCAGAGATCGTTCTTTAAAACTCTATTAAATCCACTGTGTTGACGCACTTTAATGACTTTGTCACGCTGCATTTTAGCTGATATGGGACTTTATTTGCTGGATGCTAAGATTACATCACACTCACGTAGAATAACACACAGGCTCTCTGCTGTTACAATCAGTGGGAGGTTATCATCTGGTGTAAAAGAAGGCGTTGATCAGAAATCACGTTTTATTCCACGAAAATCAGCCAAATCCACATTAATCTAGGTGCTAACTTTACTAGCATACTGTGCTAGCGATAGCAAGCCGGATGCTAACGCTTTAGTGCTGCTAATGCCCATAAATCTAAAGTAAAGTTTGTCGACATTTTAGAGTTATATGAAGCTTACCGCTCTGCTGCTGTGTCCCGGTGCTGCCAAATTCAGATGGAGCCCTCAGTACTTAGCCACTAGCCTGGAGACAGAACGAACGAACCACGCACGCACGCACGCACACACACACACACACACACACACACACACACACACACACACACACACACACACACACACACACACACACACACAAACAAACACAAACACACTACTTTTTCTTCTGTGTTTTTTTAGCAGTAGTGTCATCAGCTCCTGGGTTTAAATACTGCCACACCACCCTTCCTTAAAACGAGGAACAGTTTTGAGCTGTGTGTGGCTAAAATAACCAGACATTCTGCATTTTTCCAATAGGACTACAAAAAATCTTAGTGAGAAGAAAAAATGGCAGATTGGCTCTGTGTTTAGCCGAGGGCCATTACCATATTTGGTAGTTATCCTGACGAAATAAATTACTGATGTAATAGATAATGTGAAAAACTGAACGGGTGGACAAATATGCCCAAAACTTAATTATTAAATATCTAAATAGCAACTCCAGTGAATAATATAAGCCTTTTTGCTCACTTAGACACTTAAAATGTGAAACACACTGTGTTAATGGATAAAAAAGTGGGTTTTTCATGTTATGTCTCCTTTAAAACATAATGAAAGTGAACACCCCCCCCCCTTTTCATTTTTTTCTAAGCAGAGTATCCATGAGAAAGGCTCCTGTTTCTGCTCATTACACTGTAAAAATAAAACCTAAGATCCAGTGGACTCTTGAAATCTATTACAGTTCAAAACAACATCCCCCTAACTGTACCAGACCGATTAATTTTACAGATCTGGCATCGAGGGCTTAGGTGTTTGTTGTCACGCAGCAGAAGGAGTTTTACACTGCTCAGAGCCAGAAGGTTTACTTCATGTTAAAGTGTTTCTCTTTTAAGAGACAACAGAGCAATCGGAGTTGGAGAATCCCAGGCTCACATTTACATTTGCACAAAAGAATTAATGCGACACATTTCACACTGGTTAAATTCATTCCTTTGTGAGTGTTTAATAAAATGCAGTGAGGACACTTTTCTCCTTTCAAATTGAAAAAATAAGGTGAGAATAATGTCTCAGGCACATGAATACATTCAGCTTTGGTGCTGACATTTTGTTGTAACGCTGCCTGTTGCCCTTTTTACACACCGTGCTGGCAAATCAGCGTAATATTACAACAAGGGTGTGTCTTATGAACACGCCATGCTGGCATGACGTTGCGCGGAAATTTCTGCATTTGTTCCACCTTGCTCGGTAGTAATATTGCGGTAATTGTCTGTCTTATAATCGGCGATTGTACCTTGGTGCAACAAAGGATGGGGTCATGATCACGTGGAGAGTAACGGGCCATTCCCATCTGTACCGGGTCGGCCCGGGCTGGGTAGCGTAGGTTGTTTACATATCTGGGTGGCCTGGTATTTTTCCGGGCCAACCAAGGCTCATTCTCAGCCCTCTTCTCGAGGGGGTCTGCTTCAGGCCGACCAGGGCCAACACACCCACTGCTGACAGCAAATTCCCACCTTCCATTAGAGCAGGGGTGGGCAATTATTTTTTCCATGGGGCCACATGAGAAATAGAAAATATTGTGGAGGGCCAGGCCAAAAGGCTGAAGTCAATTATGCATAATATTAGTGGTATTTCTTTATAAAAAGCAGTAAATACCATTGTTTTTTCAAGCTGGTAAGAGTAGACTATATGTTATAAATGAGCAAAAAGGAAAAAGTGAGGTTGGCTTACAAAAATGTGATTTATTCAAATTTCCCAAGGCAATGGTAAACAAAGTGCGCATTTGGTTTTTGTTAAACATTTGTGACTTATATTAGTTAACAGTTTTAGTCACATTCACTCCAAAACACATTTTGAGTTTCAAATATTGTTGGAAAGAGGTTCTTAGCGTTCTACAGACACACAGTATTGTCTGTAAAATAAAATCACTGAACTGTGATCTTGAGAAAGAGGTTTAAAAAAAAGTGTCCCAGTTCACTGCTAGTTGCCTACATTTGTGGTCCAAACACCTTATTTTGTGTTTTTAAGTGATTTTTTTCTTATTCAATGAGAGAAATCTAGTCTCTGCTGGGCTTTAACGAGTGCATCAGTCAGGTTGAATGTCTGAGGTGGAGATGCGAAGCACAGCTGACAAATGATCATCAGTGAGAGAGGATCTTTACCTGGATTTTGTAAACTTCATCATTGAAAATGTTTGTTCACAAATGTAGGTAGAGCCGAAGAAAACCAACATCTTCTGAGCATGTCTCTTCAGGTTTGGAAAGTGCTCCTCCTTAAGAGAAGAGTAGAAATCCAGCAGAGATCCTGAATCTCTGCTTTCAAGTCCCAAACCCTCTTCAGCACTTTCCCCAGGCTGAGCCATCTGACAGCTGTGTGGAGTCCTCCTAAAGAGCGACAAACTGTCTGTGATCCATTGTCCGCGCCCTGATGAAGTTTATTATTTTAGTAACAACATCAGTAACATGGTTGATTTTTAGCACTGACTTGCAAAACACATGTTGGTGTATAATTCAATGCAAAAAACACCAATTTTTGATCTGCATCGATTTCTGTCACTTTATCTTGCATATGTTTCAAAAGTCCGACATTTTTCCCTGTAAGATTTGGACAACCGTCTGTTGTGACACCTGACTGTCTCTCCCATTTCAATCCCAGAGTGTCCGTGCACGCATTTACCTCTGTAAAAAGATCACTCCCTGTCTTTGTCCCTTTCATCGGCCGCATTGCTGCCCGCTCCTCTGTGAGCTCCGTTATCCCCCGGACAAATACGAGCAGCTGGGCTGTGTCGCGGACATCACAGCTCTCGTCTAATGAGAAAAAGTCAAAACTTGCCACTTCACGTTGCAGCTGAAGCTCCAGGTTCCCCGCAATGTCCTCGATCCTCCTGGTCACGGTTCGCCTGGACAGCGGGATTTGCTCAAATGCGCCTTTTTTTCAGGGCATATTAGTGCGGCAGAGTCCACCATGCACTCTTTGACAAACTCTCCCTCTGAAAACGGCTTGCTGTCTTTAGCTGTTTTGTGGGATATCACAAAGCTGGTCCTGGTTGCTGCATCCCTGGATGTGTGAAGCTTAGTAAAACAGCCTTGCTGCTTTTGCAACTTTGCTAGCAAAGCTTCGGATGTCCGTGCCCTCTCAGCATCAGATGAGTTCTTGTATTTTTCCGAGTGTTTCTTGTCGTAATGCCGACTCAAATTGTAGTCCTTAAACACGGCAATCTCCTCCCCGCAAACCAAACACACGGCTTTACCTCCGAATTCAGTAAAAAAAATACTTAGCAGTCCAATTTTTGTTGAAAATCCTGCATTCGGCATCTTTCTTTTTTTTTTTTTTTTTTTTGCATGAGCGGACATTTCTCGGGCTACAATCACCCTGTCAACCGCGGGCACTTGTTGCTATACGTATTGCGTCATTGTGCACGTAAAAAACAACTTCAAAATAAAAGCAATGCAGCCTTAGCCCATGCATGAGGTAAAATGAGAAAATACATTTATTTTGTAATTTCCAATTAACCTTACGCGGGCCGGTCAAAGTCAACCAAAGGGCCGTATGTGGCCCGCGGGCCGTAAAATGCCCAGGTCTGCATTAGAGCAAGCCTCTGATTGGTGGGTAGAATCAGCCCACATGGGCTTAAGACAAGGATTTGTGGAATCAACCGGGCCAGGCTGGGGCCGACTGGGGCTACCCGGCCCGGGCCGACCCGGTACAGAAGGGAATGGACCATTACTGCCGAGCCCCGGGCGGCAACTAAAATGAAAGTAAAAACAGGCCTAAGTTTTGTTTTTGTGAACAGAATCAGCTGAGATGATAATCTGGAGCGATGCAGCGCTCCTGGAGCTTCTCTCTGTTAGAGCTGGAGGTCAGATCACCAGTGACTGCATGGACTGTGGGGGACAGACACCTTAAGGAGCGGCTTGTTAAAAAGAACAAAAAAAACCTAATGAGTGTGGCTTCGATCGCAATAAAACCCAAGTTATGTCCAAGTTAAGCGGAAGTCTGCAGCAGTGCAGAGACCGCCCCCATACCCCGTTTATGCCTTTTGTAAAAAGGACCCAATTGCACCACATCACCACCACAGCATGACCAATTATAAACAACCTAAAGCTAACCCGTGCATTAGAGGTGAAAGTGTTCCATACTAGATGTGTTTTTATTGTTTTATACATAATGGGGCTTTTTTGTATGTACCAGCATTTATTAGTCACTAGATCGTGTTTGAACAAACCGATTTGAACCCATTTGCCTTTACATCCATGAGTTATGAGCCTTTTTGCCTCCCACACTTGTGCCGTGGATCACCAGGACTAGGGATGTGTATGGCGATACGATAAGTATCACAATACAGGGAAAGGATACAATGTATCACGATATATTGCCATAAATTCAGTCGATATTAGCGATTCTTTAGACTGATTTTTCCATAGGAATATTCGATAAACAGTCCAAACTGATATGTAACATGTTTAACATCAGGTATCTGAACCATAACAGAGGGATTTACATATTAATGGTGGAAACAAACCCCATCGCACACTGCTGCCATTTAGCGGTTGGTGTTTGAATTGCACCAAAAGAAAAGAAAATACATAAATGCATGTAAATTTTTCCAAAAAATTAGATACACGGCTTTTGAATATAGATATATCGCTTGAAAATTTATAATGACATATTGCCATAACGACATTTTCTTACATCCCTAACCAGGACCAAAAAACCTTTTCACAGTCTGAATTTGGAAAGAATCAGGAAGTTAGTTTGCTTGGGTATTGAGACTGTTTCATCTGTTCCTTTGCTCCTTGTTTCCTTATGAAAACTGCTTTTACAAAAAATAAAAAAAATACAATTTGAAATGTAGGATTTCCCATTTCTGTATTATTTTGGATTTTATTGGAGTCTGCGCTCACACAGTCAGCCACTTTCCAGAAGTTCACTGAAGTTTTATTCTATTCC